ATGGCATTTTAACAACAACAAATATATATAGTTTACCCTTGTTGTTTTTCACTCTCATGCATCTCCCAATGACTTCCTTTGCCATTGGTCATGTTGCACTGTGCCTCTCCTTATAGTATGTTGCCTATCCCTGCACTCAGCTAATACGTTTCTTCTCCCTAGTTAATAATTCACCCTCCCTTCTTCTATCCCTGGCAACCATCAAAGAATGTTTCTTTCTGGGTGTAAAACTTTTCTTGACCTTTTACAATAGTGATTTCATACAATATTTGTCATTTTGTGATTACCTTATTTCACTCAGTGTCTTCTAGATTCCTCCATGTTATAAGGTGTGTTTTGGATTCTTCAGTATTCTTTAACATTGCATAGTATTCCATTGTGTTTATGTACAATAGTTTATCTATTCAACTGATGATGGGCAGTTAGGTTGTTTCCATCTTTTTGCTATTGTGGATAATGCTGTGATGAATATGGGTGTATTCATGTCCTGACTCTTACTTCTCTAGTAGTGTCTAGTAGTGGTGTTTCATTGTTGTTGTTTGTTGTTAAATGCCATCGAGTTGATCCCGACCCATAGCGACCCTGTGTAGGGTTTTCGAGGAGCTGCTGGTGAGCTTGAACCATGAACCTTGCAGTTCAAATGACTTTGCAGTCTGGTGCATTAACCCACAGCACCACACCATAGAGCATATTTATTTCCAATAGTTTACGGGAACACCAGCCTATTTTAGCATTTTATCATTTCACAGCAGTGTAAGAGAGTTCTAAACTCTCCATACCCTTGCCAGCATTTGATGTTTTCTGTTATTCATTTCGTTTTTAGCTTGATGTTTTACTGGGGTTTTGTCATTATTTTAAATTTAGAAATAGAATTCTGTTTTAAAAATTGATACCAACAAGTTTTGCCCTTCTAAGAACCAGCCTTGTTCTTTAGTCTCCTTTACTGAGAAGTACTAGAATCTTCCAATGTCTTCATCTTGGTTAATTCTGTTTGATGTCCTTGGCCAATCTTAAAATACTATCCATGTCATCATTTTTAATTTTAAAAAATAATTCTATTTAAGATAGAAAAAGACATTATCAAACAGCACTAATACATATGAGGGAACTTCAGAAAGTTTGTGGGGGAATCCCATTTTTCTGTGGGCTATTTGAAGCCCCTCACACTTTAAGCAAACACAATCAGTGGCATTACACTATTAACACTAGGTAGTTAAAACTATTGTTATTGTTGCTAGGTACCATCGAGTCAGTTCTGACTCATAGCGATCCAATGCATAACAGAAGGAAAAACTGCTCAATCCTGTGCCATCCTCACTACGGTTGCTATGCTTCAACCCACTGCTGCTGCCATGGTGTCAACCCATCTTATTGAGGGCCTACTTTTTTTTTCGCAGACCCTCTACTTTACAAAGCATGTTGGCTTTCTCCAAGGACCTGATTATCCCTCCTGATAATCTGTCTGAAGTCTGAAAGACAACGTTTTTTCATTGTTACCTCCAAGGAGCATACTGGTTATAGCTCATCCAACATAGACCTGCTTGTTCTTCTGACAATCCATTATACTTCCAATATCGTTCTCTAACATAACTACGTATTACCAATTTCACAGTGAAAAGGCAACCACTTTCAACAATTCCCTTACATGCATTGACTTTCTTGCTTTATGCTTTGCCGAAATGTATTATCAATGCCAATTACAGAACCTAAAATTGTTGCTAGTTGAAAAACATAAAATGTATTACCTTGGGAGTAAGTATGAGAATGAGTTGGACATTGGCATCTAAGGAAAAAAAAAAAGGGAGAAAGAAAAATGTAAAGTGAGACTAAGGAAACCAAAAGATAAAAAGCAACGACAGTCCTAAGATATGAATATTTATAGGTACAATTATATAGGAATAATTATTGGCATGTACTGTACAACAGAAAAAAATAAGAATTGGAGATGGACAAAAAGTTGATTCTAGAGTCTTTCCAAGTGGTGCAAATCATTTGCTCTGCACTGCTGGACCATCAAAGGAAGGTTGGCATTTGAATCCACCAAGCTCCACTGCAAGAGAAAGACCTGCAGGTCTGCTTCAGTTAAAATTGGAGCCAAGAAAACCGTATAGAACTCAATTCTATCCCATGGCAACTGCAGCAGTCTTCCCAGCACTGACGAGTCCATTTTTCACAAATTCATTTATCAAATGCCTGGGAGGAACTGAGATATGCACTCAGGGAAAAAGTGTAAGATGGAGTCCCTACCTTAGTAAGAAAGGAGCTGAGCCCAAATTTACCTGACTCCCTCCTTTCCATGGTCTCACCCTATCCCCCACTTTTGGGGACTCTAAGGAAAGTTTCCCAAAATTAAGGTGTTTTTCTTTGTAAAGGCGGTGGCCACACCCATCCAGGAGACTGCCTTTATGATCTGTAGCCCTCCCTGCTTGTCCCTCACTCTCCGTCTGGAACCCTCATCCTCTCCTAGGTCAGTGTAGTTAGGTTTTGGCTCCTTACCACGCTGCTTAGGTTGCACACATGCCCATCATGTTCTTTTCACAAAATCCTTCCCCATCTTATTCCCAGTCTGCCTCTCTATGAGGCCCCTTCTGTTCAAAACTTTCTCTCCATGGCTTCTGCATCACCGCTCCATCCTGGTTGTCTCCTGTTTGTGACAGTCCCTTCTCAGCCTTCTCTTTCTCCCCTGGCTCTCCATCTGGATCAAGGTAGGGAAAGGGCACCATGCTCCCATGTATTCTCTTGGAGACTTGCCACAGTGGACTCTCAGCAGACGTTTTTGTGCATAACACCCTCGACCCCCATCACAGATGGAATGAAATCATCTGAGAAGAGGCAGGAAAAGGGAGGACCAATGGTGTCAACCCTCCAAGGACCCCTGCCTCTACTGGACCTTACGGAGTCCTTAGTAATGTTTGTTCTCCAATTTTCACCATAGAATAGAATAGAATAGGGTAAAGCTATAGATTTCTTATATGTAACATTTCTTACATTATACAAATACTAACAACATTTATTGGATAAAATTTTCTGCATTGAATTACAACATTATTAGTAACTGAGTGAAAGCCTGCTTTGGTTTTCATTCTTTTCCTTTAATTACTAAGTAATTCTTTATAAAGTTAATGATTTAGGTTCACAAATAATAAATAACCACAGCATTGTAGGTAAAATGTAGAAAATTTGGCAAAATCAGTGACTATGGAAACATAGACAATAATGAAAACGATATGGCTGTACAGGCAGCGCCGTTATACCACGTGGACAACTCCCGGTGGAGGTGAAGGTGTGCCGCGGTGTTGGTTCCCACGCACAGCACCCCGCACAGGTGTTCCAAGGCTATAAATCTTCACAGGAGCAGAAAGCCCCATAGTTCTCCCATGGAGCGCCTGGTAGATTTGAACTGCTGACCTTACGGTTGTTAGCAGCCCAACTCCATAACCCCCACTACACTAACAGCTTCCCTGTACACAATTCCTACTTGCCCTTTAATGTTATGTACATTTCTCCTCACACTGAAGCAACCCCTATTCACAAAAATGTTTTCATCTCCAATTGTTGCATCTGCAAGCTTTTAAAGTCTGGATAAGGATTCAAGCCTTTTCTGACACTATAATCAGGCTAAAATAAGAACCATAAGCACCTGTTCAGACTCATCTACAGATTCCACTTAAAGATTTAAAAACACAAGAACAGATCTCTTTGCTAATTCTGGAAGTGCCTGTAAGTGGTCAATAGTGTCTGACCTGACTGAAAGTTTAAAAAGTAACTTAGTAGAGTTTTAGCCTTGTAGGTATATTTATGCATGTAAGCTGGAATTATAAAAATTGTAAATCACAGGCATGTTTTTATTTAAAAAATGCATTTCTGCTAAACACGACATAAAATTTTTATAGTCTTTCTGGAATCACCTGGTGTGGTGTGCAGCCCTGCCCCTCACCTCCCTATTTGATACCACCTGGTGTCTGAAAACAAAGGGCCTTGTAAGCGATGCCATGAATCGCGACTGCCATCTAGTGGTCTCAGTTGAGAACGCTAAAGGTTTTCCAGCAAATCACAGACAATCTTGGAAATTGCGCTGCTTCTGGAGGGAGACTGAAACGCAGCCAGTATGGATGACTTTGGAGCGCTTTCCCTACTTGAAGAACAAGTAAAGAGGGGCAAAGTGAAAAAAATTCATACGCAAAGCTTTCCAACACGAATACGCCATTCTCCTGTTAGGTGCCCCTGTGTGTGTGCATGCTCCCTCCGACTTTATTAAAGCATCGAGCCCCACCCCAATTCACCATTTATACGTCTTTTGATCTGCACTTTGTACTCCATTCTCTCTTGCCTTCTAGAGGACCTTCATCTGTTCTGCATTTCCTAGTTCTTCCTCCCATTGAACCCTTTTCAGATTTAAAGAGTTCCATGCCTCAAACTATTCATCCTCAGGTCCCTCCAGCTTAGCCCCATTCCCACACAGGGTCTGCAGCCCCTCCTCAGACCACTCCTTCAATGGTTCTTTCTCCTGCTCCTTTTCTGGCTCTTTTCTCTTGCTCCTTCCTTAAATGTTGAGCTCTGCCCTGCACTGCCTTCAGCATTCTGGCCCTTTATAGCCAACCAAGCATCAAAGTTTAATGGCTTTCACCTCAGCCGGTGACCCCCTCCACTCCATCCACTTTTCTCCCTGCCCCATGTCACCTGGTCCTGGGTATCCTCTGCCTGGTTTCTAACTGGTGTCTCCTAGATTCACGTTGTTGTTGTTATAGTTAGGTGCCATCGAGTCGGTACCGACTCACAGCGACCCTATGCACAACAAACAAAACACTGTCCTGTCCTGGGCTAACCTCACAATTGTTGCCAAGCTTGAGTCCATCGATGCTGCTACTCTGCCAATCCATCTAGCTGGGGATCTCCCTCTTTGTCTCCGACCCTCCACCTTAACAAACATGATGTTTGTCAACATACAATGACGGGTCCCTCCTGATAATAAGTCCAAAGTATGAGAGACAATGTCTGGCCATCCTGGCCTTCAAGGCACAATCTGGCTGCACTTCTTCCAACACACATCTGTTGGTTCTTTTAGCAGCCCATGGCACTCTCAATATTCTACTCCAACACCATAACTCAAATGCATCAATTCTAGGATGATCTTCCTTATTCACTGCCCAGCTTTCGCATGCATATGAGGTTATTGAAAACACCATGGCATGAGTCAAGTGTATCTTAATCCTCAAGCTGACATCTTTGTTCTTCAACACTTAAAAAAAGGTCTTGTGCAGCAGATTTGCCTAATGCAATGTCCTTTGATTTCTGGGCTGCTGCTTCCATGAGTGTTGATGGTTGAGCCAAGAAAAATGAAGTCTTTGACAACTTCAATCTTTTCTCAGTTGATAAGAATGTTGTTTATTGGTCCAGTGGTGAGGATTTTTGTTTTCTTTACAGCTATGGTCTTTGAGCTTCATCATTAAGTATTTTAAGTCCTCTTCACTTTCAGCAAGCAAGGTTGTATCATCTGCCTATTGAGTCTTCCTCCAATCCTGATGCCACGTTTTTCTTCATATAACCCAACCTCTCAGATTATTTGCTCATCATACAGGCTGAATAAGTACGGTGAAAGAATACAACCTTGTCACACACCTTTCCTAATTTTAAACAATTCAGTGTTTCCATGTTCTTTTCAAACATCTGCCTCTTGGCTATGTACAGGTTCTTCATGAGCACAATTAAGTGTTCTGCAATACTTATACCTCATAATGTTGTCCATAGCTTGTCAGGACCTTCATTTGCTGATGGTTACAACTCAAAATGAGAATAAGTGGCAAACATCCATTAATAATCAGAACATGAAATGTATGAAGTATGAATCTAGGAAAACTGGTAGTTGTCAAAAATGAAATGGAACACATAAAGATCAGTATGCTAGACCTTAGTGAGCTGAAATGGACATATACTGGCCATTCTGAATTGGACCAATGGTTTACTATACCAGAAATGACAAATTGAAGAGGAATGCATTCATCATCAAAAAGAGCATTTCAAGATCTATCTTGAAGTACAATGCTGTCTGTAATAGGATAATGTCAGTAAGCCTACAAGGAAGACCAGTTAATACCACTAATATTCAAA